CGTCATTTTTGTTCATAAAGGTAAGAGTAATACATAATTTGTAACTGTAAAGGGTCTACTGTTATTTGTGTGCACTCACAATATCATCGGCGTCTCGTCTTGAACAGGAGCGCTTCACAAAAATGAACCGAAACTCAGCGAATACATGCCTCACAGACATGATAAATATATCTATAGAAAGCTTTAAATGACTACTTAATGAAATAAAACAAATCAAAAACAAAAACTCTTTCGTTTTAATCATAATCCGTAAAATGGAAACTTATCTCTAAAGGCGCATCTAATGAGGAGATGGTGAGTCAGGATCGACTACTTAAAGCTGCAGTCCATAAGTTTTGCCTCTTTGTCGCCATCTCTTTTTGAAAACCTAGAATTGCAGCTGAGTGCAGAATTATCTTGCTTGCGTGGGTTGTGAGTCGGCATGGCTCCAGCTCAGATGAATCTAATGTTCTGAAGAGTATGTGTGGCAGTCAGTCACCACCGCACCGGTGTGGATATTTACTGTAGTTCGCAATCACAGATTCTAGCCTACGTCTTGGAATATGACCCAAATAAGAATTTTCACATATATTGCCATCTGAACAAGTAAGTACAAGTCTGCCACGTTTGTTCTGACCAACTGAGGAAAAAAGCATTACCATAAATCTTGCTACCAATGGTGATTAAATCTAAAGATCTGTTAGCTCATATCACATCAAACTGTTCAAATTATTATTATTGTTATAATTTATTCTCAAATGATTAATGCTAACAACATCAGCATTGGTGACTATGAGTATAGTGTGTAGATTTCAATTTCTGCACTGTCTAATCTAATTGTCATACTCTTCAAATTTCATATTAAGAAATTCTTTTAACCCAAAAAGCAAATTATGTTCCCTTCGAACTGGTTTTCTTTAAAATACAAATCTTTCTAATCCCAGGCTATTTGTAATCAGAAGCATATTTATAACTGGAATATAATTTCATTTCATTAACATGTGTTTCATAAACACATAATCCTTTCTGGATTACAATCCGCCATACAAATGATACATTTAATTATTATGGTTGCTGTGAGAAAAGGCTATAAACCACCCACCACCTGCAGGATCCTCGCATGCGATAGCCTAGTAGCCGAGACAACTTCTTTGTTTACAGACGTGACGTAATGACGCAGTGCCGTGCTCTGAAAACCTACCCGTACCACTCAAATTAGAAAACATTATTATAAGTTCACCTTTGTGAACCGGGCTAAAGTAAGGCGATAGTTTTGAACATTGGCTGGTTATGTACTTGCTCAAATATTGATTTTGGATCATTTTTAACCAAAAAAAAGTTACAGACTGCAGCTTTAATCCTTGCGACACCAACTCAGAAAACACTAGTTTATTAGTAAATAATTCAAATATCTCCTTACTATTAACCCCTGATATTCATGGTAATTACTTTTGCCAGTGCTTTGCGGCAAGCTTAAGCCTATTGCGTGCATTTAAACGCAAGACTGTTCAGCTGCGCTGACGGCACGCACCATACTACTGCTGCTGCGGGACACTAAACACCGTCGAGCCGCTCTTGACAGTCGCGGTAGCACGGTCTCGTGTTGTTTCCACCAGCGCGGCAATTTTTTTTCATCACTAATTGATGGATGTCTAAAATAGAAAAATTAGGAGAAGCCTAAAATAGGCCCGAGGCCCGAGGCCCGAGGCCCGGCCTGTGTCTGATGTGAAAATTGGCCCCGAAGCCCGGCCCGAGGGTCGCAAAAAAAGTCGGGCTGAAATGCAGGGCCTGCTGCGGGACACTAAACACCGTCGAGCCGCTCTTGACAGTCGCGGTAGCACGGTCTCGTGTTGTTTCCACCAGCGCGGCAATTTTTTTTCATCACTAATTGATGGATGTCTAAAATATAAAAATTAGGAGAAGCCTAAAATAGGCCCGAGGCCCGGCCTGTGTCTGATGTGAAAATTGGCCCCCGAAGCCCGGCCCGAGGGTCGCAAAAAAAGTCGGGCTGAAATGCAGGGCTCTACCGTTCATGCTCATCGAAACAGCAAAGTCCACTCAAAAATCGAGCCAACAGGAAACATCTATGTAGTACAGTATTGTTTCTGTTTGCAATAGCCCTACTGTGCTGAAACATGTGTGGTATATGGGCAACTCTGGAAACGCTGCCCTCTCATTCACTGATCAGCTAGTGCTAACCTCTATGTTATGCGCACGTGTTCTGATAATAATAGCTTTCTAGGACTAAACATGGATAATTGGAAAAAAAAACTAAATCTCTTAATGTCCCTACTGTTAGCCCTACTTTAAAAACTAAAAAGCTATTTATTTCATTTTTAGGCCCATCGTTATTTTTTATTTGTGCTATCATTAGTAGTTTCTTTATTTCTTGTTTTATTACTGACTGCTTACTTGTAATTTTTTATTCAATTCAAAGTTTGAAATTAAGCTATCTCGTGCTACTGCAACAATTACCCCACTGTAAAATCAAAAATACAGCGAGTGAGCAAAAATGTGTGAGATTTGAAAACGCATCTGATTACAGCGATGTGGATGTTTGCACGAGCTCTCCAGTAAAGTCCAGTCATGTCACGTTTATTTAATTAGTACCTTATGCAATAGCCTTAAATCAGGCAGCTTTACAATATTAAACATGAAAAACCAGTCAGTGTCGCTTTCAGTTAGAATTTCATTTACTGTTATAAAGCAGCTTTCCAGTGTGGAACTAGCTAATAATAAAATCTTTTTATTAGTGGGGGAAAAAATGTTTAATTAAAGTGATAGTTTGGTTTGCAGAGATCAAAGCTTGAGCTAGCTCAGGACTGTTTGATTATTATAATCCTATAAGGTATTTTAAGAGAGATTGCTGTGAATAAAATGGTTTATCCAAAAATAAAACGTCTTATAACTTAACCTTTATTTTGTTTCTTATCCATATGACTTACAAAAAGAGATTTTAGGCAGAATGATGTGTCATTCAGCTACTTTCTCATATAATTAGTTAAATGGTGAATAAGAGTTTCTCTGCCATTTCATTTTGTGTGCCAACATATTTATTTGTATAAATTAATTGTATAATTGTAATTAAATAATGACTTTCAAAAGCTGAAGTGATTACCTTAATACATTTTTTTTTTTTTTAGAATATGTATAACTCGATTAGTCGATTAATCGTTCTAATAACCGTTCGATTAATCGATTATCAAAATAATCGTTTGTTGCAGTCCTATTTTGATTCTTCCTTGGGATAGTTCACCCAGAAGGCATCGTCCATGTTGTTCCAAACCCATATAATGTTGTTGTTTTTTCTGTGAAACACAACAGAAGATATTTTAAGAGGTGTTTTGACTGTTTTTCTCCATACAGTGAAAGTTGGTGGAGACCAAAACAACATTGAAAAAAAAAACACACTGGGACATTTTTCAAAATATGATGTTTATTTGTGTTCTGCAGAAGAAATAAATGCAGGCAGGTTTAGAATGACATGAGGGTGAGTAAATGATGACAGAATTTTGGGTGGGTGGTATAAATATTAATGGAATTAGAATTTTCTGTGTTTTTAAAAGTGCTTCATCATCTGTGGCCTAGCAGTGTACATTGAGCCATAGTGCTAGTAAACAAATAAATAAAATGAAACGTGTGTGTGTGTGTGTATATATATATATATACATTTTTTTTTCCAAATAATTTGTTTAGTGTTTTAATTGTTCATATTTATTTTTTGTTTATTTTTATTTATTTGTTTTAGTGATGTTTTTTATCTTAATTTGTGGGTGTCAGAAAAATCTATTTATTTTTTATTAATAAAGTGTGTTTCCAATCCACTGTGTAAGATACACGCATTAAATCAAATTCATTCAGGTTTAGAATGACCTGAGGTGTGAGGTTTTTTGTTTTGTTTATTTGTTCTTATTTTTAGGTTTTTATTCGTTTTTTGTTTGTTTTTGTTTATTTGTTAATTTGTGGATGTGGATCGTGTTCACTGTGTAAGATGCGTGTAAGAAATAAAAATCATACTGGTTTGGAACAACATGAGCTTGAGTAAGTGATGACAAAACTGTTTCTTTGAGATGGGGAAGTTAAACTCCTACTGCATTTCTGAACTCCATTTGCTAAATTTTCCATAAACATTCAGAAACCTTGCGATACCACTGTTTAAAATAAATACTGTAGTAACTGCAGTGTTTTGTGGCTTGAGTACACACTAAAAAATGCTGGGTTGTTTCAACCCAACATTGGGTCAAATATGGACTAACCCAACTGTTGGGTTAAATTTTTAACCCAAAAGTTGGGTTAGTCCATATTTGACCCAAAGTTGGGTTGAAACAACCCAACATTTTTTAGAGTGTACGACAATTCTAACATGGCCTTGGGATACAAGTTACATGACACCAGTATTTTCAATATAGTGTCATGTCCACTCTTGTGTCTCCGATCTGCTGTTCTTTCCAGTGCCAGATCACTTCACCACAGCTTTTTTTTTAAGTTGGTTGTTGGATCCTCAGTGGGCCGAATAAGCGAGGGCAGTCTCATTTTCAGCCTCTCATTAACCAGCAAGAACAATTCTGCCTCTGTCTCTGTTGCTTTCACAGAGAGCCTCATTCAAGCTTCCTGAACTTTCTAAAACAGCGCTCTGTAATCTGTCTTTATGATAAACGCCTTCAAATACGATCACTTCTTTCACTCTGGAAACCTCTCCTCCTGATTTTTCTGTCCTCATTGTAAATCATCTAATTGAAATGATGTTTGCACAAGTTTGTCAGGAGATTCTGTTGACCGAGGTCGAGGGAATTGTGGGAGTGGGTCTAGTTTGAAGGCTTTGCCGGCTCTCATTGGTTCTGAAGTCACAGGGGGCGGGGCTTACAGCTTCAGAGCCCCCAAGAAGCAGTGAGTGTGACATTTTCCTCAAGCAACATTATCAGAAATATGCATTAGATAATAGTGAGTTGTTTAAAAGGACAAGGGAGAGAGATTGAGCTGAGATTGCAACCTTAACTGTATTCTGTTTGCCTTTCCTATAGAACCTGGACCACAAGACACACTTTTGCACTTTGCTGCAAAGCGCGGGCTACGCAAGGTAGCACTGTTTCTCCTCCAGCAACCTGGAGGAAGAGAGGCCCTCCGACTTCCCAACAAACAGGGTCGTACGCCGGCCTGGGTCGCCCAGAAGAAAGGCCATACGCAGCTCCAGAAACTGCTGACGGAGTAAGTGTGCAAGAAAATTATACCCGTAACCAGTATTTTTGGCTAGTTTTTAAGTAAACTTCTGGTCTCCAGGCCCCCCATTGTCGAAGACAATTTATGAAGGCTCCCCAAAATCTTTCTGATACTTCTGCTATAATGACAAAGAGGATTATTTTGAGAGTTTTTAGTTACAGAAACAGAGTGGCAATATATGTTAAAATAATTATAAAAATGTAAAAATTCAGTTCCATAATCCCAATAACTGAATGTTCTTCATTGTTTACCTTTTTTATTACTGGTGAATTACTTCTAGTTTGTAATTACATGGGTTTAATTTAACATATATACAGCATATATAATATTTATTATTATTGCAACACCTTAAATGAGTCCTGAGAATTGCCTGAGAAATAAAATTATGTAATGATGTTTAGATTATTTTTGCCTTGTTCTGTTGTAAAATTAATACAAACATGCATTTGAGACAACTTCATACAGCCCTTGTTGATTGACATTATTGTCCCCCTTGATGTATGAAATCAGACCAGATTAATGCCAAGAATAGGCTGTTATAAGCCACAGACTTTATCAAACAGAACGGACGTTGTGACCTTTTGAAATGCCTTAAACAAATAAAGCTTTATCAAATTTGTTGCTCTCAAACATAAAAAGTTAAGTCGCACTCGTAAAGGTAAAGTTTTTATTTTTCCAATGTCCTAAACACCCCCGGGGTCAGCCAAACAGATCTGTTGAGGCAATGTTTGCATTGGGTTTGTTTAGATTCTCAAAAAGAGCAATGTTAGACTGAGTCAGATTTATAATATTAAAGCAATGACTTTTATCATGCGAATGAGGCGAGATTTAGTGTTGTGTTCTGAAGAAAGGAGGATGTTGAAATGTGGGGGAGATAAGAGCAAAGCACAAGGACAGGCCATGTGGCTCTGAGCTCTTTGTAAACAGTTAAAGCCACATAAGCTTTTTAAAGCAAGCCTTTGCATTTCAAACCAGCAAGATCCTGTCTACAGATTTACTCAGTAAAGTGGCATTACCTGTACGTGTGTAACAGAAACGTTTACCTTTATCAGTTTCCTCCAGCCAGTGCTCTTCACAGTCTATGGCTAGCAAACCTATGTTTCCCTACTTGACTATTCTAAAACAGGGTACCAAGGCAGTGCATGTACTCCTCAGGGTTGAAAACTAAACAGGTCTCCCCTTTAAAGCTCTGCTCATATATTTGATATATGAGTGGGAAAATTGGGAGAGCTATGCTTGATTTGATCCCATTTTTTTTCTGTTCATAGTTAATCAGATATATACCCATGATCTCATGTCTATTAAATTAGATTTGAATCCAAGCCTATACATATGACAGTTAGGCTAAATAATTGTATTAATACTAGAGAGATGCGACACTCTAGAAACCATTTCCTGTTAGCTGTGTCACCCAGACTGATGTCTACCGGGTCACTGGCTGACCAACTTTGGTAAAGCCAGTGAAATGTGATCACAGACAAAAGGATAGAAGAGAGACCAGAGCTAGCATGTGATCTGTGCTCTCTGGATTCAAGGATCTGTTATAGAAGACCGTTAAGTACTTTGGTTTAGTGCCTCATTTATAGCAAGTGTACTGAACCACAGCACACCCTTAGATGTTGCCTCAAATCTTTCCATCAAAGCTCATGGTATTTCGTTGGTGGTTTCTCTAAGATATTTTGATGTACTTTCTATGATGTCATTAAAATACAGTATATAATATCTTATGATATTCATTGTGATCTGTTATAATACATTACATTACTTGCCTATTTATGATTTCACCTTTAGTATAATGCATAACATATAAAACATGATCAACACTCAATTTTGTGTTATCAAATAAAAGTTAGTATTATAATGTATTATAACTCTGGTTTCAATTATATATATGAGTTTGAATATATCTAAATATTATTTTATAATGTTACCACTTTATGTCATTATGTTGTTATTTATAGATTAATCGGTTCAGTTATACAGGACAAATTGTTCAGCTCTCCAGGACAAATTGTTCAGCTCTCCAATCCTTAAGAGTTCAGCCTTTCATCACATCTGTCATTTGGCTAATGCTCAGGCTGCTTAAAATATTCCTCTCAGGTCTGTTAGACCTTAAGAGCTTCTCTTTTTCACTTTGCACTCTTTAGTTTCCTATGAATGATGCCACAGTGTTGCTATGGATACCATTTTGGACCTTAGATACACAGCAGGTGAAAACAGTTCCTGTTGTTACCCATGTGTCAGGGCTCTGGGGACAATCTGAGCCACTTACAAACACAAAAAGACAAACAGTTGCACATTTTCTCTTTCGAAAGCTTGTAGCTTTTTGGGTCTGATGAAGGTGATTCCGCCTTAGTAATTTGCTATTACTACGATACATAATGTTCAGTCGTGTGTCCACCTTAAATCTATTATTCACATTTATTTGTTTGACATGTTGACACTGCCACTAGGAACTTCAATTTCACCTTTAAATTAGTTTTTCATTTCTTTGTCTAAAGAAACAATGAAATTCTTGTTGTCCGAGCTCATTGTGGCATTGTGCCGGATTCAAACCTGTTTTAAGTTTAGCTACAATGTTTAAACAATTAATTTTTCACACTTGAGTCGATATTCTGTGTTCTCCACAGTAACCACAATCAGTATTGTGCATTACTTCACATCCTCTGTAGGTGTGCTGGGTGTGGCCTTGCTGATTCAGTGCCTCGAGATTGGGTGTTCTCAAAGTTTGCTATGTTTGTGTTGGGCAGGGTTGACAATCTGCCTGAGTTGGAGACGAAAACATCCAAGTGGCGTTACCCAGAAGGCAGAGCTCTGCGACACCACCCCAAGCTAAACACTTACACCCTGACGCTAGAGGATGTGCCAGGGAGTCCCCCACCTAGCCTTCAGTGTGATGTGGAGGAGCTCCAACGCTTCATTCAGTCACATCAGAAGGTGAGTCAGTGATTTGGAAGTCCTCTATGGCAGTAGGTGGGTCCTATTTTCTTGCTCTGCCACTTTAAGATCACAGTGATATTTCAAGCTGGGTACAATCAACAGGGATGTTTGCTTTTGTGGTAGAACACTGCAGGAGGTAGCTATTTGTGACTAAAGGAAGTTACTAAATGCAGATCACAAACTAGACTGTCTCTTTCTATCACTGTGCACGCACTCTTGCTCTGTTTCTCTGGGTGAATGTTTAATGTCAGTTTTAATGAGGGCAGTATAAGGCGTGCTGCTTTATTTAATAGCTGTTTTTGAACTTTGTTTATTCAGGAAGATCCTCCGCCACAACATAAGCCAGCACTGCTGATTCTTAACCAAAACTCCAGTGATAGAACAGAGCCTGCTGACTGCGTACCAGCCAATGCACTGGAGCCTGAGCATCAGGAACTCAACTCTGAACAAGAAGAAACCTGCGAATCGAACAGCTCTGCCGTTGAGGATGGACTGTGTATTCGTCAAAACAGCACAGGAAATCATGTCCAATCACAGGACAGGGAGGTGGAGCTTGACCCGCCAGCTGTAGGGGATACAGGCAAGGCGTCAGATAAGACTGACTGTTCGCAGCAGCGGGTAGAAGGCGATTCTGTGAAATTCAGTGCCCCTTCCTGTGGAAACCAGCGGGAGGAAGCTGATATAGAACTCTGCGTAATCAGTGCCAAACAGGGGGCTACTTCACAGCCTGATAAAGGGAACCAAAAAGAGCAGGAGGCTTGGCAGAGGAGTTTACAGACTGAAAAAGACAATAACGCTCAATCTGGCAACCTTGAGTCCCAAGACATGGGCCACGCACAATCTCAGGGTCTCCTCCCCACGGAAACTAGTCAGCCTTCACAAAGAGAGGAGGAGAGCGAGGGGAGTGCTGATCTAAGTTGGCGAGGGGACTTACCAGAGGAAAGGGAAGGGGAGACGAGTAGCAGCCAGGAAATAGGCTTAAACTCTAAAGCACTTTCTTCCCATTATCCAGAGGAAAACGGTCAGCAAGACGAAAAGTTTGAGCCCAAGCTGCCTATGGAATGCTCGGTGGGAACAGACGAAGCTAAACTGACATTAATTCAGGTAAATTCTGAGGTTACCTCGTCCGTACGAAACGATGAAACTGTTATTTCTGATGGTGTTGACAAGCCACATGGTAGCCTAGAGACAGAGACGGGAAATCACACCAAAGGCAACACTGAGTCAGTTTCTGGTTTGGTTACGGATGACGTTAGCATAAAGCAGAACTCTGGATTTAGTATTTCAGTAGGTGATCCTTTGGAATCGTTAAGTCTGCAGCCAAACATGGCACCAGGACCGGTGCATAAAGTTAGACGAGGGCTCTCACCAGTTCCTGAGGCTTCTCCTCATGAAGGTCCAGCTGTGGAGCCCTTGTCTGAGAATACAGAAGGTTTTCAACAGCCACACCAAGTCACACAATCTTCAGAAACTGCATTAGAATGTCAGGAGATTTTGAATGACTCAGACTGTGACATCAGTGCAATAGCAGGGGTTTCTGTTGGCATCACTGCAGAGGTTTCATCTAGCCAGATTGCCGGGTCTCTACCTGATGGAAGCAAGGAGGAGGTAGCCTCTAATGAGAGGATAAACCACCCTAAGGAGATCTTTGAAGAGCAGGAATCAATTGATGACATTGTTGTCTCACAGTTGGATGACAAATCCAAATCTTCTGATGAATCTTCTCTGCCTGTTGACTCTGAAGCCTTTATCGTAAGTGATTTACAGCAGGATGTGTCTACGATTCTGTCTTCTGAACATTGTGGAGTTGATATAATCATAGGAACTCCTTTCGGAGGAGAAGAGGCATCTGAAACATTTGTTCAGCCAGACTCTACGTCCAAACTGGTTGAGCAGATTCCTGAGGAATATTCTGGAGATACCACAAATGAAAATCAAATTTGTGAGCCAGGGGAACCATCGGTTCTAGTGTCAACTTTGCAAGGTGAACCGGGATTTAAAGATGTTGCTCCAGATGACCCTCTACGGGAAAGGGAAATTGACTCCACTTCACAGGACACAATCAACAAGCTTCTTGATCTGCCGGAAATCACACACAATGATTGTCCTGAATCCAATACACAGTTCCAGCTCCCAGAATCCTCCAAAGAGAGTGCAAACACACCATCAGAACCTACTGCAGAATGTGTGAATGACCTAGACCTATCTTGTGCCTCGCCCCTAAGCCAAGGCAGCAGACCTTCTGAGACCCCCTTTACTGATGGAGTAAAGATCTCTGCTGTAATTCCTGGTGGGGTTGAATGTGTTGACATGGCTACTGATATGTGTGAGACGACTGTCTCGAGGGACAGCCCATGCTCTCCCATGGACACCAGCAGTGGTTCAGTTCTGGAGAGCTCCTCCATGCCTGACCCACTCAATGCCTCATCCTCAACAGCTGAGCTCTCTTCCCCTTTGGATATTAATAGTGGATTGCACCAGGATTTGGAACACACTTCCCCAGTGGATATAGACAATGGTACACCATCAGAACCTACTGTTGAATGTGTGAATGACCTTGACCTGTCTTGTGCCTCACCTCTAACAGAAAGCCAAGGCTGCAGACCTTCTGAGACCCCCTTCACTGATGGAGTAAAGATCTCTGCTGTAATTCCTGGTGGGGATGAATGTGTTGACATGGCTACCGATATGTGCGAGACGACTGTCTCGGGAGACAGCCCATGCTCTCCCATGGACACCAGCAGTGGTTCAGCTCTGGAGAGCTCCTCCATGCCTGACCCACTCAATGCCTCATCCTCAACAGCTGAGCTCACTTCCCCTTTGGATATTAATAGTGGATTGCACCAGGATTTGGAACACACTTCCCCAGTGGATATAGACAATGGTTTGTCTGAGGAACTGCAGCCTTCAGAAACACCTGAGAGGCTGAATGGATTACATCAAGATTGTTTGATGGATCACAGTGAAACTCTTCAGCAGTGTGCAGAGGAACCACCTGTCGAACAAATGACAGGTAATGCCTTTTGATTTATCATTCTCTCAGTGCTGACTGTGTAAACAATTATTTTAGGGAATCTGATGTTATTTGATAATGCTACTTTTTACCGTCATCCTGTGTAACAGTTGTTTGAAAGTCTGAAACTTTGTGCTGCTTCAAAATTAAGTATGTTTATCATGTCATTCTAATTAGATTGTTTACAGCGTAAGCTAATTTGTCATTGGCTTCATTGTATTCTGATTCATGCTTGTGTGTGTGCATGTGAATACAATGGTGTTTGCCTTACAAGCTATTTTCTATGGACATAACATTGAGTTATTCTTATATAGGTCAATATTTATTCCCATTTTGTCTGTAATGTTATTTTTAGTAACAATTAGACACATTTCTGTCATTTGAAACAAAGCTCAATCAGCGGTTTAGGTTTCCATCCGGAAGGGAAAAACCTTCCTTGTCATTCCGGTAGCAGTGTTAATAGGGAGTGTTTGCAAATGATAATGTGTATTTGCAGCACGTTGTATCATGGCAACCTGGTGATGTCAGCTCTGCCTCACCTCATTGAATGAAAACATTTGAAAGATTGTCTTTTGAACATTATTATTATTTTTTAAACAAAGTAGACGCCCAGCTCTTTTCCACATGGGTGAGAATTCAGCATTGTTCTACTAATAGTTGCTTACTGTATGTGTTATTTATATCACATTCGTGGAGGTGCTGATCTCAGTTTGAAAGGAGGAATAAGTCGCTTCCTTTTATCAAAACATGGGGTTAATAACATATCTAAATGGTCTTATTACGATTTGGTCATTTCTGAGTAAACAAGTAAACCTGCGCAACAGAAATGTTCGCTCTTTGGACATGAATCAGCAGCTGAGTTAATGAATTACGTATTGATTTTTTGGAAATTTCCATTAAAATTCACACACAAATTTCCTTGAAACTGTGGGTTTCACTTATTTACCTGAAGCGTTTTGTTGTTTGTACATGCACAAAAAACTAGCCTCTTCATCTACAGTAAGTTTGACAGAATGGCAAAGCAATTACTTTTAAAACTTAAAAGTGCTACAGTCTTTTATTAGTTTCAAATTATAAATGTCATCTTTCTTGATTCCACCTCACAGTTGACGGCGCTTTAGCAGAGGATGCAGTGGACGGACACCAAGACTCCTCAGTAGACATGGCGAATTCCCAAATGGTGAGTATTCTTTGGCTAATTTCCTCAACCTGCCATCCACTAAATAAATCATTAACGTTTAGACCTCTTGGTATGATTCACTCAGAGAGTTTGCGTCCAGCCACCCTGAATTCTCACTCAGTAGCTAGGACGGTGGTAGTTTCCCGGAAGGCTCCACTGAGCAGAAATTCAGGGATGTTTTGGACCTGACCTTCTGTCGTAAATCTGATTTCTCCGCCTGGTTGCTGAAAGTGCTTCAGCATTCTGACGCAGGTCTGAGTTGGAACTGCTGAACTGTGTCTCGTAAGGTCAAACTGGTAGATATGGGAACACTGCCACCCTACAGCTCACACTGTGGTTGTGTGTGTGTGTGCTGTCCTTTTCTCAAGGAGGAAAGATGACTTCACCCTTTTTTTCCCCAGTTGTGTGTCAGAGGGATGATATCAGTGGCGAGAAAACAGAGGGAGGAAGGGAAGATGTGATAACTTGGGTGTTTATGCGGGCCAGCAAGAGTGACGAAGTGACTATCTTCAGTCTTTGGGAGTTTCTGATTAGAAGGAACTTCGGCCGTTTATTTTGTCATCTTCCTGTGGGAATCCATATTGTTTTGACTGCTTCCTGTGCCTCATATTTTGGTTTTGGAGTACCTGATATGATCTAAAATTATTGTTGAGGAGGTGAAAGATAAAGTTAAATCTCTTGATACAGTATATAAAGGCCCATTCACACCAAAAAATTATGTACTGTAATGATAACTGCAGGTATAAAGTTATAATAATCATTCTAATTCTTGAGAACGGGAAATAAGAATAGGGAAGTCCGCGCCACAGCTATAACAATATCATTGGAATCACTTTCAGATCTTTTTTTTTTTATGTAATGAACGATAAAAAACATTGACAACAGGTCAGAATTCTCAGCAAGAAGAGCTCAGCATACAACAAAACTGCAGTGCATACTTATAATAAACAGAATGCTATCATCCGATGGTGTGGACGCTATCGTTACAGTTATCATTTTTTGGTGTGAACGGGCCTTAAAGCAATGGAAACTGACACGTGTTTGCTAGCATGTTGCAACTAGCATCTTTGTTTTGATTGCACTCAAGCATGAGTGATGAAATGATCTTTTTCTTGTAAGTGATTGACTGAGTGACATAACGGGGTTTCATTCATTCTGAGGAGACACTTGTGGAGACATCTTTTGTCTTCAAACAAATTAGCAGAGAATGCTAAGTCTAATTTTTTTTAAACCATTAGCTTGCTTAAGCTGCATTCTTCCAGTTTTATTTGAATCTAGGCCCTATTTGGGGCAAAAAGAATTAACCCATTATTGACTGTCTGATCTTTTGTACCCCCTTCTGACCTCTCTTGTCAAGGTACTGTAGCTTCTACGTTGCCTCTGAAATCAAGCTACATTTACACTTATCTGCAGTCTGGCATGCAGACTTGGAACGCATCATGAGGTTGTATAGCTACATTGTCAGCATTTGAAAGAAGTTACACTCTGGAACATTCTATCTTAAGAGACTCTTAAGATAAGAGCAGAGGCCACATTTAAAGAGCATCCCAACTTTGACTAGCATGCTAACTTTATCATTGCTTGTCCAAAACAAAGCACAAGAAAGCCGGAGTTCTTAATAGCGGTGCTTGCTAAAGCAGTATTATAATTTTCATGTTTTTAAAATGAATGTATACAACAATTTTATAGTGATTTTTCTTACATTTTCACTTTTGTTGTCATTCTGTCATTTAATTTATGAAGGTGGATTGGAAATCGGATCTGAGGTCACTTCATTCAGTCTGATTTGTCATGCTAGCATGTACCTTGACTGATTTGTATCTTTCCACACCAGAAAAGCTCGGTCTTCAAATATTTCTCACCTTTGGAGGTAGTTGATGAATTAATTCCTCATTGCAGTTGCTTCCAACAGAGGGCAGGGTGAAATCCAAGTTATTTTTGTAGAGGCTGAACATAGGGGTGTGCGACATTGACACAAAATTATATCTTGATATTTTCTGGGATTTTATCGATAACGATAATTAGACGATATTTTGCGGAGTGTGTTATTGTGCTGGTACCTTAAGGACTGCCAAAGACAGCTAACTCCCTAATGTTTTTAATATTCTTCATATTCTGTGTGGTGGTCAGTTCATACTGATAGAAATGAATCTTTTCCAATAAGTTTAAACTGATTTTTGCATTTTATGGGCATTTTTACCTTTTATAAAGCCATTTTTTTCTAAAAGTGTCCATTATCTTTTGAGGCAAATTCTTACATTTAATCAGGGAATTAGAATAATAAGATATTTGGGCTGTTTTTAATTAACTTATTGTTTATTGAATTCAATGTCACATTTGTAATCATGGTAATTTTTTGGAGAAAAACGGCACTCTTCGTGTGAAATTGAATAACTATGAAGTGATATAAATATATACATTTTCTGCCATTATCATTGAATTTGTGATCATTCTAAATGCATTTTAATAGACTGAATCATGCAGTGAAAGAAAACACACTAAATGCACTCACGCACTAGTCTAGACTTCACGTAATGTATGTGTGCGCTCTGTAGGGATGTTTCGATAATGTCAAATCGACATTAAAACAACAATTACGATGATATCGCAGACGATATATATATCGCACACCCCTAGGCTGAAGAGAGAAGATTGTAAGAATTAGCATGATCGTGTTATTATGCACTACTTTTATTTTTTAAACATGGGCGAATGAATCATTCACATAAGACCAGAAACATGCTTTATGAACATAAATGCAATCATTTTTGATTGCATACTGATTTTGAATGTTTTTCATCCTGCAGGTGTGATGGGTAATGGGTAGTTTGGCTGTTTTTAGCTTATTATCCTGTGGCGTCTAGAGCGCTGTGGCTCCCTCTTGTGTTAGGATGCAATATAACTCCTTCCAGATGTGCACTGAGCTGTCTAGTAGTCTACATATGTGTTAGAGAGAGGGACAAGGGCAAAAAAAGCACAGACTGTGGTCTCAATATGCCACCAGCAGCATGAGGGTTTCTTTGTCTCTTTTCATCTGTCCTCGTGCAGCAGGCAAGATGCACTGTGTGGAACCCCTTTAAAGGAGTTCCTTTTTCACTAAACATCCAAACTAATAAACCACACAAGCCACCCCTGGGAAACAGAGCCTTAGCGCGCACTCACAAACACGTACGCAAACACAAATCCGCCATCTAGTGTGTTGGAAAAAGGAACAAGGCTGCCTCTCAAGCGCTGGAATGTGAAGTGTAAGAATGGCGTGATGTTGAAGAAAAGCAAAGGGCTGGTGTTGGTGGAGTGGGAGGGTTGAAGACACCGCTGAGGCTGGTCTAGATCCACACACACTCCTTCCATTCATGCATCTGTTTGTTGGCTCCGCCAATGATGGAAATATCCTTTGTTTTGTTCTCACTCAACTTCTGTGCTTCTGCTCGCCCCTTTCAAGTCGTCCTCTTTTTTACCTCAGTCCATTATCCTTTGTTGTTCTCTCATTTCCAGCATTAGTTCTTCCAAAAAGTCATTTGCGCACCCTCATGTTGATTCAAACCCATATGGCTTTCTTCTGTGGAACGCAAAAGCAGAAGTTGGTATTTTAGTGTTTGACACTCTTTTCAATGCATTTAAAGGTTACACAAACACCTAAACCATAATAGTGGGCCTTATAACTATATTTGAACTATATTTACGTCTCCTGAAATCGTAAGATGCCTTTTTATGGCTGACTGATTTAAAAGGTCAAACAAACCTCAGAAGCATTTGCATGGATGAATCATTTACAAAAAGATCAATAACATACATTTTGAAAACAGATGAACAGATGAATTTCCCTTTAATGCCAACTTGTTATTCACTGCTAATCTTTATCTTCGTTGAGCTGCTAATGATTATGCCCGGACCACTGAGTTAGCGAGTTCGAGAATTCAAAAACCGGATCAGTCAGATTTGTGAATGAATCGTTCAGACTTGTTTCGTGAATTGGATCAACTGATTCATTTAGAGACCTGACTCAAAGGAATGATTCATTCATGATTCAGATATCACTGCTTCTCTCTTGAACGTCAGTATTTTTAGTGACTAATGCCAAATTGCAGTCTATTATTCACATAAAGGTTATCATATAATTTCAATATTGCACTCAACTCATATGGACCACTTTTAGGATGCTTTTATGGCGTGTTTTTTTTATGGCGTCTTTTATGCTCCGGGATCCCCACAAAGAGCCCTTGTTTCTCCTATCCCCTCCTCCACTGGATAATCACACGCATGCATGCAAACACACAGTAAAGAGCAAACTGACTGCGTCAGGACAACCTACACAGTTATCTGAATATCTGTTACTCCTAAGTACAAGTAAGGATCTTCATGCTAAACGTGGAGAAGTGTAAAAGTGTTTCAATTAAAGACTTTAATTGAAGGTGTTTTTGTGCTCAAGGTGTGTCTGTGTGACTGTTTTGTGTGTTTTTGTATAAAATTATATATTCCCACACTGTGACACCCTCATTATACTGTATGTTGGATGGAAACTCCCAAGCACATGTGGAAAAACAGTGCAGTTCGGCATGCATGCATTGGTTCAACAACAGGCTTGTCATAATGCTACCACCCTTTGCTTTAATCCACAGTTTCAAGTAATGCAATATTTTAATTTCTCGATGTTTCCCAATTAATTATATATTGTGCAGTAGTTTAGTAGCAGCCATGTCAGTGTTATAAATATTATAGTACTTATTAATATTTTGAATTGGCTTTTAGTTTCCATTTTTATTTTAGTTTTAGTAATTTTGTGCTTTTTTCATTTTTACTAGTTTTTGCTTTTTAAAAGAAATTCTATTTAGCTTTCAGTTTGAGTAATTTTAGTACTTTAAAACTTATTTGTGTTTGTTTTTTTCATCTAATATTTAGATTTATATTTTTATTTCAGCTTTATTTCATTTAACGTCTATTTTAGTAGTTTTGGTTAACAACAACACTGAACCGGTATTCTGATTCTTTTCCAAAAGTTC